ACAGCATTCAATAAAGTGAGTATTTAGGGCACTGGCAGCTTCACCAACTGTGAGAGCACCATTTACTGAAGATATTCGTACGTTTTCACAAGTTGCATTCGCTACAGACAACTTCTTAATATCTTGCCGAATTTTTCTTGGATTCGTATATATACGCGAGAAAACCCTTACGTAATATTTTTCCTTCGCTTTTCTTAGCTCTGAATTTACTTGTTTACGATATGTCTTAAATTCGGCTAATTGATTAATATTGCGTGTTTTAATGAACGTGTGGCACATTTGATTTTTTCTTTTAATTTTTGTGAGAAGTGCAGCATTAACCCATGGTTTCCTAATTTTTTTTAGTTCGTTTTGTAACACTATGTTGCGGAAAGGCTTTATCGTAACCAGCAATCATATTATTGAAAAATGAATTGTATGCCTTATTTAGGTCACTTTCAAGCAGTTCAGATTGCCAGCTTATTTCGCTAATAAGTGAGCGAAATAGGGCTATCGTCGTTTCATCATTGAGACGATAGGAAAAGGTGCTGCGCTTGAATTTCTTGAAGCAGGGCAGAAAACAGAAAATTGGAAGATGATCACTTATGTCGACGGACATGACACCAGCAGTCACAGTAGGAGCATGTACATTAGTGATACAAACATCCACCAGGGTGGCACTAGAAGCGGTCTCTCGTGTTGGCAGGGTTATCTTATTCGAGCATGCGTAAGAGTACATCAACTGCTTATATTCTCTAGTTGTTGCATTTTCGGCCATCATATCTATGTTCGTATCGCCTAGTACGGCGAACAATTTGCCTATTTCACTGAGGTAAGATACAAGTTTATTCATATAGAAAAAGAAATCCTTTTTGTTCATATAGAAAAAGAAATCCGCAAGGTGGCCTGTAGAGTACTGAAAGTGTTACTGTTTTAAGACCAATAGTGAGGCATTCAATGTTTTGATTATTCAGCGAGAAATCCGAAATTATCTCCGAGTTCAGATAATTTCGTACATAGACAGCCAAGCCGCCACCCCAAGAGTAGGTGTGGTTTAGTCCGTGATATCAGTAGTTATCAAGCCGGAAGGCATAATCCTTATCAGAAAGCCACGTTTCAGTAAAAAGAAGCACATGGAGATTGGTTTTGATCCGTTGAAGCAACTCTTCAACTTTATCTTGCTTATTTTTTAAACTTTGCGCGTTTGAATTAAGGACTGAAATACGTTTTTCAAGCGCGGCAGATATATTTCTAAAGAAAATGTAATCATGATAAAGGCATTTATCAATCGAAGCCATGACTACACTGAAAAAGTAAAAACATGCTTTGAGTGATTAAGATTAGGCAACCGTCTTGCTGATGTCATCGATGCTAAAAATATGCAGAACAGGGGACGTTTCAATACATATGGCCATTACTTTCCCTCCAGTGGTCCACACGTATTTCCAACCAACCTCATTTCTCTTATGTTGCGCAGCACTCAGTAACAGTTTGCCTTGCCTTGTCAAGTGCTCATTGATGGACACTGGACGATTTTCATCAAAACCAAGCATTCTGGTATCAATTTTTTTCTTTCGTGCTTTAGCAAGTAAACCGTTCCTCTTGATGCGGCGCACAAATCAAACAATTATGTTATGTTCATTATGCTTAGCTGTTGGAACTTTGTGGCACATATCAATGTCAGACTCTTGTACTTCTTCTGCAACTATTCGGCAATCTTTTTATTGATAGCTATCGGCTCTTCATCAACAGGAACACTCTTGATTTCTAAGTTATTGAAGCGTTGGTACGTTTCTAGCTCCTCCAGGTTTCGTGCCAACTTAGCATTTTGCACTTTAAGTTCTTTGTTTTCTGTTAAAACGGCGTGGATCACTTCTCTTAAGACTTCAAGGTCTTTAATTTTCTGTTTGAGCTCTTTCAGTTTTACTAGACTCTCTTTTATCTCCTTCAATTCATCAATTGTCTCAGCACGCATTTCGTCCACAGCATTTCTGACAGCGATATTCCACTAGCGTAAAAACAGAGAAGGTACAAATGCAGTTTGATGCAGTCCGGCAGCAGTGTATAGAGTGTAGGAAATCGAACGTTAAGTCCTTACCTGCAAAAGCAGATAGTGTTAGTTGTGTGCTTAAGATGCACTTCTGCTGAACTGCAAGTCCTGTCGTCGATCCGTCGCCTTTTAAAGCCAGCAGTGTTGTCCTCCTGCCCTCTTGTGGTAGAGAAGGTGCACAGGAACCACGTGAGTGTTCGACGAGAGCGTTGCAAGGCCTAAACGAAGTGGTTCCGCAGTCTTGCAGCTATTACCGTGTCCTGTTCCACGTGCGTGACAAATTCAGCGATGAAGCGATCTTCGGTTGCAAAAGCAGATAGCGTTAGTTGTATGCTTAAGATGCACTGCTGCCGAACTGCAAGTCTGGTCGTCTATCCGTTGACTTTTAAAGCCAGCAGTATTGTCCTCCTGCCCTTTTGTGGTAGAGAAGGCGCACAGGAACCACGTGAGTGTTCGACGAGAGCGTTGCAAGGCCGAAACGAAGTGGTTCCGAAGTCTTGCAGCTATCACCGTGTCCTGTTTCACGTGCGTGACAAATCCAGCGATGAAGCGATCGTCAGCTGCAAAAGCAGATAGCGTTAGTTGTGTGCTTAAGATGCACTGCTGCCGAACTGCATGCATACATGACATATCTATCCTGCGCCCTTAAATATTCTGTACAGTTCTGAATCTATTGACGTAAGGGGAAATGACGGCTGCACGTTTGCAAACAACGGGAGACACCTTGCCGGAACGCTATATTGCTTCAGGGAGCAGAACGAAAAAATGAGAATATTGCGCGTTTTCGCGCCGATTTACGTTTTCTAGCGTATATACGCAGCGGACAAGCTAGCTATATAAGAGTAGGCACAGTATAGCTTCAGGTAAATTTTCAATTGATAAGATGTCAACATCTATCAAAAACGCTTACCTTGCCCTCGCAGATTGCACCATAAAACCTCTTTATTTGAAATACTTTATTTCCATCAAAAGTCACAGTGCAAATCTAATGCCAACCAAAGTTGCGAGAAAGTCTTCGCGAAAAATAACTTAGGCATTATTGTGTGGCCAACGTGCAGCGTAGCTTACAAAAAAGTATTTATTGCGTGCATATATTGGTGCGCGCAGTAAAGTAAAAAACATGATTTACAAAAGCGATCAGTCGACGTGTCTAGGCCTGCTTAAAATATGGCACTTAACAATAAAAAAAGTATTTCAATAGGCATGCAATCACTAACATTGACAGTAAGAAATTCTCTTGGCATAAAAAGAACACGAAATGAAAATATAGGTTTACAAAAAAAAAACATACCGCGTGCAACTACCATTCTACGTTGTAAAGTGCAGTCGTTCTTGACTTGTGAAATTCACTTCAACCCGACGAATACTACGGCGTTGACGCTTAACAGAGGTTAAGAATTAATGATGTCTTCTCCAATAGACCGAGTCGTCGTAATGATGCGGTTTCGAAGATTAGTCAATTCAATGGTGTGATGAGGGGCCGTTGCTCCAAATGGTCACTGTACTTGTCGTTTACTGTATTTTACTTCCAATACTTCACGTTTACTTACTTTTGTCACATGCATACACATTGAGCGCGGGGGGAGCATGATTGATATGTGGTGTTTAACGTCCCAAAATCACCATATAATTATGAGAGATGCGTTGAGAAGGGCTTCGGAAATTTCGACCACCTGGGGTTCTTTAACATGCACCCAAATCTGAGCACACTGGTCTGCAGCATTTCCGCCTCCACCGGAAATGCAGCTGCGGCAAATGGGATTCGATACTGCGAGGGGGGGGAGTCTCATTATATATATATATATATATATATATATATATATATATATATATAATATATATATATATACATGTACAAAATCTGCTCAAACTGCCACCGATGTCTCCTCACAGAGCAATGCTGATGCCTGTGCCCCCCTAACTCTTGTCCCGTTAGGTTGCTGTCAACAACCCCCCCCCCCCTCCCCGAAAAACACTTCTGGCTACACCCCTGATTTCCATCACACAAGGACCAACCATGTTTTTAAACAATTGGTGCAGACAGGAAATACTCAAAGTGACGAAACACTGCAACTTTTTAAACTGTTTTACAAGAGAGTATACACCCTCACCCCTCACCTTTTCGAGGGACTAAGAATACAATATTGCTCACCAGATGAAGCGGTTTCACTCAAAAAATTTCTTTACAGTAGGTTATATTTTAATAATATCACTAAAATTATTATGATTATTGTTGTTGTTAATATTATATTATTTAAAACTGCAATTACACTAAGCTCAACATGTCGCTAATCCACAATAAAATGAGTCATGGCACAGTAGGCATTACAGCTGAATTCAGAGGCGGAAAAGGAATTCTTGTACGCGCTTACATGGCTAGCGACTGGCAAAAACGTCAAGTTGGAGGAAAGAAAAACTGTTTTGTCTGTTTTATTAAAAGCTGCATGCTCTGTGCTTGGTTCCACGTGGCTTTATGCGACTCAGTTTCATTTCAAGCTGGTGACAAAGTGCCATCTAGAATAATATAATCTCTGCTGTATTTGAATGTAGGTCCCTAATTGCTGAATTATCTCAAGGCTGATACATGCCAGCTCACCACAGTTTGCATAATTGTGCTAGGAGTTACCGGTAATAGTAACCGTGATTCTTTCCTAAGGATTTGGAATATGGAGTTTTGGAGCTGTTTCAGAAGTGTTTGCTTAGGTATTCAAAAACTATTCGAATAGTATTTTTCTCGTATTCGTATTCGATAAGATGTAATGACTTGTCGGTTATTACTAGAAGCGATTCAAGGGTCAACTATTTGTAAATCCGTTCATTATATTTCGAATACTAATTTACTGGAGTTTTGAGTCTAATCATTGGTCTAATCGACCATGCTAACCTGGGTATTATATATCAACAAACGTGGTCTATTTGTTGTCATGCTGCATTAACAATGTTAACGTTTTGATTTTTTTCTATGTTGCAGGAACGGCTTTTGCGCCCTCTGCAATGGCGATATTGAGAACGCAACTTTCTGGAACGCTACCAGCTCTGGGGCTGCAGACCGCGTTCGCGTAGTACTTCCAGATGTCGTAGAAAACGAACCTTCTTTGCACTTAAGGCCCTGCAGTGAATATGCACCCAATGACAATTGTACTCAACCTGTACCCGGATGGGCATCTCGTAGATGCAAGGCATATTACGCTCCAGTTCAGGACGCCGAAGACCCCCTCGGTCAAGTGTACCGAAACGTGTACTGTGCTATCTGCAACGGTGCGAACATCTCTGCGTTAACATGCAGTCCAGCTCAGCACCTCAGCAACGTTAGTGTGATCAGCAGGAAGACCAATCTCCTGCCTCCGGCCGGTGGCCCACCCAACCTGGCCGCACTGTTCAAGCCCGTTGTGAGGACGGCTAGTTGTTACGTGGAACACAACAGCCACTGCTACATCAAGAGTGCACCCACATTCTACAGTGCGAGGAGCCGGATGGGAGTTGAAATTATGCTTAACGAAACTAACGCGTCGTCACCAGAAACACCAAGGCGTGAGCTGACGGGCCACTACAAGATACACAACTACATTACCGTCGTATCCATATCACTCTCTATATTCTGCCTCGTATTGAAAATTGTAGTGTTCTGCTTCTACAGAGAAGCACGCAGCTTCTCATCTAAGTGCACGCTATGTCTGTCCGTCACTCTGCTCCTCACTCAACTATTATTCCTGCTCACAAGCTGCCTACCTCTTCCCGGTGTGGTCTGCGCGAGTACAGCTGTTCTGATTCATTACGGCTTCATCTGCACGTTCCTTTGGACGACTGTGTTGTCGTTCGACATATGGAGAAGCGTTACGGCCATGAAGTTATCATCTATGCGTGAGAAGACCTTGGCGGTGTACGGCATGTTTGCTTGGGGCGTCCCTACCGTGCTCGTTCTCGCTGCCGTGGCAGTGCAAGTTCTAGCACCATGGTCAGAATTCTCTCCCAGCTACGGCAGCCCCACATGCTGGATCGGCACGTTCTGGGGCCTCGCCATGTACTTTCTCATTCCCATGGCGACGCTTCTGCTGCTGTGCATGTTCTTTTACTTCTCCTCCGTGTTCTACATTCGCAGCACATCTGCCGCGGCGTGTACTTCGAGCGATGACGCGGATCTGAGGGGCGACGGAGGAAGTAGAGTTCGACAGCAAAGATACCATGCGGCGCTATTTGGTCGCCTCGCTCTCATCATGGGCGCCGCCTGGGCGGTCGCATTTCTCGGGACATTCATGCCTTACGAGGAAATTGACTCGGTGGTTAATGCACTCGTGGGATTGCAAGGGGCGTACTTATTTTTTGCGTTCAAGGACTACCGCTACTTGTGCTCGTCAATGTCGACAAAATTGAAGTCAATGCCTCTGTATAGCAGCAGCCACAGGACTTCGAGCACGGACGTCTCGTTGAAAAAAACCCGCCTCTCCAGGTAGATGTGGGGTAAAAACATTTGTGCTTCGGATCACTGCTGATGTGCTTCTCACAGCTGTTGCACCATGTATACACAGCTACGTTGTTCTTGTAAACTACTTACCAGCAGCATTAGGGATTTCTCATTCTTCTACTCAATGCTTCTGTAAATTAAACGACATACAGTGCTTATGTGTTGAAACAAGCTGAATGTAAAAGTTAGTGTGAGTGTTGTGCTGGAATACTGCTCATATTCACGCAGAAACAAGTTATTTTTCACAAATCTGCGTGCGGATTTTTGCGTGCGGCTGATTGCAAATTGAGGCAACGTTGAACTAGTTGAGTTCTCAGTTCAACCTTTAGGTAGAAAATGCCGCACTTAAGAGTGCAACATATCAGTGACTAAAATATTGTGAATATTACCTTCTTATGAGTAAAACAATGACTGGGATAATCAGAGAGGTTAAATAGCCCGAGGCAGCGTCAAAACATTGGTGGAAGTGTCATGACCCTGGTTTCTTTAAATTTACACACATAACAAAGTGCTAAATTGAAAAAGATGACAGAGTGTAAGGTTTTGTTTAGTTTGTAAAGTTTATGGTTTTGCGCATTGTTAAATGTGTTCAAATCAACCAACTAGGCAAGCAAGCAACTACTTTTCAATCGGTTTACTGCATAGTATATATATATATATATATATATATATATATATATATATATATATATATATATATATATATATATATATATATATATATATATATATATTTATATATAAATATATATATTACACATGCAATTTATCTTGACAGTGCGTTCATCTACTAGAATATATTTTCCATTTGACTGATCTACCTTGATGTCAACAATCTACCTTTATTCTGTGACCAGACACTAAATTACTTAGAGGAAAATTATAGAGAAAACCAATTTTTTCCATAATATTTTAAAACGCTTTCAGAATATCTAATCACTAGGCCCAGCACCGTAAGTTGGGTGGCAAGCTATAGAACGATAAAAAATAATGTGGGTAGTTTTCGCACTATTTGCCATGACAACTTCAAATAAGATAGCGTCGACTGAAACGTAGGTTGCTTCTAAGCTGTAAAAAAGAAGTACAATATTCTTTGAGGAACCAGAGAGATAAATATTGATTTTTCAGGAAACTTGTTTTGGCCAATGCTGATAACTTATGAAAAAACGCTACCACAGGTGCTCGTTTTGTTTCATATTTAGGGTATCGTTTAATTGCACGCTGCCTTGTTCAAAGCACGGCCACATATTTGCGCACCACCCCAATATTCCTTGAGTTCAAGAATGCTTGGGTTCCATTAGTGCTGGCTCCCTGGCATTTATTCTTTGAATTCTCCGCTCAACGCTGACAAAGTGATGTTTTTTGTGACGCTCGAGCGTTAAAATTTCCAACGTGTGTTCTCATAATTTGTGGCTAGATGCAAAGTGTCAATCAAATATGGCATATACCCGCTTACCAGCGGCACATACTCACCCGTGTGTATGTGCCACTGCCTTGCGGGAAGTGTTTGACGACGTACGCTACAGAAATGTTACAGTAATCATGTTTTGACTAGCGCATTATATTCGTCAAACCACCTTACCCTCCCACTCAAACTTTGGTTCACGCCAAGTTAAGGGGTTGATCACGAGAGTGCCCAAACTTAGGTGGCTAGATAGATAAATAGATATGATCAAAGCCACCGAAGTTTGCTAAGAAATGCTTCGCGTATAAAAAATAGACGCTAATATATTAACTACACCTTGATTATGGGAGCCAACCAGACAGCTGAGTTTCCCAAACCCGATTATGTTGGTATGTATGTTTCAGATTTATCCATATTCAGAAAATTACTTCTCGACTCGCTCCTTTTATTCTATTTTTTGAAGTAACTTGATGATGATATTAGTAGCGGACATTACTACTATGGCTAGAAAACACCACGACGTGAAATACGCATAGCAATTGAAAGAGAAAGCAAGCCAATTACGAAACGAAATGTGAAAAAAAGGAAAAAAATATGAAGTGTACCCATAAACATCAATAAAAACAGAGAAATGAAGAAGAGAATGCGAAAGAAAAGAAGGAGGATGTATAGAGAAAACTGACAAGAGAGAAAGAGAGAGCAAAAACTTCATTATTTATGTATATACAGGAAGTAGGAGGGATATGGCCCGGTGCTGGTCATCTCTCAGACACAATAGGTGGGCTCCTCGTTACAGGAATCCATTGGAAGCCAACGCGACTCGAGTTCGGTTGACCAGGACCTTCTGGCTCGCCAGATCAGAACAGCTGAGCAGGGCTGCCACCCAGTCCTCCCAAGTGGGGTTTGGTTTTGGGGTGAGGTGCGGAGTTGACTGGCATGCCCACATCATGTGGAAGATGTCAGAGGACTTCTCCGCACAGTGCGGCCATTTCCCTGTACAAGCAGGATCAAGATATTTGAAAAATGCCGGGCACAGCAGTGTTTTGGTCTAAAGGTGAAGGAGTAACCCCCGAATGCAGAGATGTTACTTGACTCGTACTTCACTTGTTCTTGACTCATGACAGTCTTGACGCTTCCCATAAATTGTTTTCGAGCTTGCGGACAAGTTGAAGGTGACTTGGCTCGGTCGAAGTCAGGACAAGTTTCAAGTAATCTGCGGGGCTAGCTTGAAAGCGGCTTCATCGGTTATTCCAACATGACCACTTCTCGAATGGACTTCGCGCGGAGGGTGGCCGCTTTTCAGTTTTCGTGCCTCACCGAAAGTGTAGCATTTTCTTAGGCGCACAGCCTGCCGAAGATTCCATGACCCGCTTTACGTGACCGAGGAAATCCGATGCAGTTGTACGACGAGAAGCAATTTCACGCTCGGTACAGATTCACGAAGAATGCCGTGCGGCAGCTGCCCACTATGTTGTCGCTCAATGAAAGTGGCGACAATAGAAGACAACCTGTGCCTCCAGTGTTACAGCTACTGATGGCTCTCAAGTTTTATGGCACTGGGACATTCCGCACAGTCACCGGAAAGCTCGTGCGCATTTTTAAGTCGACAGTGTGCCGTGCAGTCGGAAACGTTACGCTACTCATCGCAAAGCACCTGCACGTGATATTAGTGCGCTTTGCGCAGCCGCAATTTTATGTGGGACTTTTATGAATAGTCGGGACTTATGTGGACATAAGTTATGCAGGACTTTTTTGAAGTGGCTGAGCTCTCTGGAGTTACACGATGTGTCGATTGCACACAAGGGCGTAATAATAGCCGCGGTAGTGACGACGCCAAAGTATTCCGCAACCGCAAAGGTTAATTATGTTTTTCTAAAGCACGACGACAATTTTCGTCTCTTTTGGTACAAAATTGACTCGGCGCTGTGTCTGTGTGCCTCATCTATCCTTTCGTCCTGTCTAGGTTGCTCTTTCTCGCTCAGAAAGGCAGACTCGCTCACTGGATTTCGTGCCAGCCGGTTGTGTCCCCGCGATCTCCCACGACAGCGCAGCTCCGGCTGACTGGGCTCCCCCTACGCCATCTCCTGACGCCGACAAAAGCTCTCGCCGAGTGGTGCCCTGTCGTCAGACTCCAGCGACCATGTCCATCTTTTCTAACTCCTCTTTAATTCTGTCACTCCCTCTCCCTGCACCTCGCTCTCTCTTTCCTCTCTCTATACATATCTTTTAGTACTATCCTTTTGCTCCCTCTTTACCCCCATTCCTTGTGAGCTCCTGTTGAGGTCTTGTCTTGTCGTGTCACCTAGATGATCTTGGCTAATACCCACAAAGGGGATTGGCCACACTACCTTTAATGAAAATTTTTGACACAACGCTTGCTAAAAAAGAGGGAAATGAGATAAGAACAATAATAATGCTTCTTTTAAAAAAGTGAAAAGTGCAGAATAATTCGATAAACTAGAATTTATAAAACAAACTAGCAAAGATGAAGAAATAGACATTGAAATTAATATATCTGGCAGTACCACTAGCAGCGTATCCTTCTGGTTGCCTGAATGAATTTGTGTAGCGTTGATACAACAGCACTGTGGCCCGCACCCAACAGCTTGGCTCGAAACAACAAAAGAATGGATGTATTAGGTGCTAATCCGAGCATACCAATAGGTCTCTCAAGAATTATTCGGCGCAGTGAGACGCAGCAACGGCATGTAAGAAGAAAGCGATCCGTTTTTTCCGGTTCATTGCAAACTGCACATAGGTTAGTTATTGAAAATCCTGATTCGAGGAGATAAAAAAATCACCAAGGAACTCTACAGTAAACGCTGGTGAGGGTAACCTCACACTGACAAGAAAAGCATTTTGCGGTGTTCTATGTGAATTGCAAGTGTCGAAATTCTTCAAATTGTGGGAGCGATGTGTCGTTAACTTTGAGATTACCAGCCGTTTGAATTGTTCGTCAGTAATAAAAGAAAACTATGGAGCTATTAGCACCATGGGAAATTTTGAAGATGTCGAAGTGAGCGAGTCAGCAGTTCATTAGGTGCAATTCTAGCATGCCCTGGCCCCAAAAGAAACCGAGCATCGAATAGGCTATGCGGTACGAGAGACCAAAATATCCTGAGAAGAGGAGACTGCTTCGCGGACGTTAAATGTTTACAAACAAACAAAGAATCCGATATAACAATAGCTTTTGATCGCTGAAAACTTAGTTTTGCAAGAGCCAATGTGATAGCCAGAAATTCTGCGAGATAATTTGGTGTGAAGTCAGGCAATCGGAGCGCAAAATACCAATTTATCTAATGAAAAAATACCTACTCCAGCCTTCTGGAGATTTTGCGTTGCATCTGTGAAATTTACTACGTAATTGGGAAAATGACTAGGACGGTCTTGAAGGAGGCCCTCCAGGACAGGCTTTGGAAGTAACTTGGCGTTTTTTTTAAAAATGTTATCGGAAATTAGGTCAACTGGCACCGAGCATAGGGTTTGGGGAATTAAAGGCTGGAGGGAAACGTGATGATTTGATAAGAGAGACTTGACAAAAATGACTTGGGGTCTTTGATAACGGCACCACGAGTGCTTAAAAATGAAACTACATATTTGATGGAAACTGTCTGTGAACAAGAGAAGGGCGCATCATAGAGTTTTTAAAATCATTGCACGGTAAGCTGTCAAAGTCCTGCATAGGTGGAATGATTTGAGCTTTCAAATAAAGCACGCTATTCGCAACACACCCAGGTAGCCCAAGACACAGCCGCAGAGCTTGCCTTTCTAAAATTTTA